GTGAGGAGTGTGCCTGTACGTGTGTGAGAGAGTGTGTGTTTGTGTGTGAGGGAGAGAGAGAGAGTGTGTGTGTGTGAGGTGAGTGTGTGTGGTCTTATAAAACACCTCTAATAGTCCGTAAAGAAATACGCCACTTAGCATATTTTCAGCCAATTAGCCACGTGTGTGTGTGTGTGTGTGTGTGTGTGAGAGGCGTTTGGCCGACAGTCTGTTTATTCTCAGAGAATCGTCGCTGCCAGTCTGCGGTCAGCCGCTCCTCTCTTCTGATTGGACATGAGCAGTTCAGTGGGTGTGTCTGGAATAACATTCTCACACACTACGCTCACTCCACTATAGTGTGTAAGTGCAAATCATGTACAGTTTCTACATAAACCCCTGATCTCCTGCTACACCAGCAGTAAATGTGAGCATGTTATAATGTATCCCACAATGCACTGTCCTGGACGCCACATTTACACAAACCTGGATTCAAAATTGCATCAATAATTAAACGACTACATAAATTAGCTGAAAGTGGATTTCACTCGAGTGAATGAGTGTAGGCTACAGTGAGTGAGTGTAGGCTACAGACACAGTGAGGGAGTGTAGGCTACAGTGAGTGAGTGTAGGCTAAAGTGATGGGATACAGTGAGGGAGTGTAGGCTACAGTGATGGGATACAGTGAGGGAGTGTAGGCTACAGTGATGGGATACAGTGAGGGAGTGTAGGCTACAGTGATGGGATACAGTGATGGGATACAGTGAGGGAGTGTAGGCTACAGTGATGGGATACAGTGATGGGATACAGTGAGGGAGTGTAGGCTACAGTGATGGGATACAGTGATGGATACAGTGAGGGAGTGTAGGCTACAGTGAGTGAGTGTAGGCTACAGTGATGGGATACAGTGAGGGAGTGTAGGCTACAGTGATGGGATACAGTGATGTGCTACAGTGAGGGAGTGTAGGCTACAGACAGTGATGGGCTACAGTGATGGGATACAGTGATGGGATACAGTGAGGGAGTGTAGGCTACAGTGATGGGATACAGTGATGGGATACAGTGATGGGATACAGTGAGTGAGTGTAGGCTACAGTGATGGGATACAGTGATGGGATACAGTGATGGGATACAGTGAGGGAGTGTAGGCTACAGTGATGGGATACAGTGAGGGAGTGTAGGCTACAGTGATGGGATACAGTGAGGGAGTGTAGGCTACAGTGATGGGATACAGTGAGGGAGTGTAGGCTACAGTGATGGGATACAGTGATGGGATACAGTGAGGGAGTGTAGGCTACAGTGATGGGATACAGTGATGGGATACAGTGATGGGATACAGTGATGGGATACAGTGAGGGAGTGTAGGCTACAGTGATGGGATACAGTGATGGGATACAGTGAGTGAGTGTAGGCTACAGTGATGGGATACAGTGATGGGATACAGTGATGGGATACAGTGAGGGAGTGTAGGCTACAGTGATGGGATACAGTGAGGGAGTGTAGGCTACAGTGATGGGATACAGTGATGGGATACAGTGAGGGAGTGTAGGCTACAGTGATGGGATACAGTGATGGGATACAGTGATGGGATACAGTGAGGGAGTGTAGGCTACAGTGATGGGATACAGTGATGGGATACAGTGAGGGAGTGTAGGCTACAGTGAGTGAGTGTAGGCTACAGTGATGGGATACAGTGAGGGAGTGTAGGCTACAGTGATGGGATACAGTGAGGGAGTGTAGGCTACAGTGATGGGATACAGTGAGGGAGTGTAGGCTACAGTGATGGGATACAGTGAGGGAGTGTAGGCTACAGTGATGGGATACAGTGATGGGATACAGTGAGGGAGTGTAGGCTACAGTGATGGGATACAGTGATGGGATACAGTGAGGGAGTGTAGGCTACAGTGATGGGATACAGTGATGGGATACAGTGATGGGATACAGTGATGGGATACAGTGAGGGAGTGTAGGCTACAGTGATGGGATACAGTGATGGGATACAGTGAGGGAGTGTAGGCTACAGTGAGTGATGGGCTAAAGTGATGTGCTACAGTGATGGGATACAGTGAGGGAGTGTAGGATACAGTGAGGGAGTGTAGGCTACAGTGATGGGATACAGTGATGGGATACAGTGAGGGAGTGTAGGCTACAGTGAGTGATGGGCTAAAGTGATGTGCTACAGTGATGGGATACAGTGAGGGAGTGTAGAATACAGTGAGGGAGTGTAGGCTACAGTGATGGGATACAGTGATGGGATACAGTGAGGGAGTGTAGGCTACAGTGAGTGAAGGCTAGTGTGTGTGTTCCACATGTGAGCTGATCTCTCAGTAAATGAGCGTTCAGTGAGAGTGTGTTCGGCTGCAGTTCCAAACGCTTCCACTAGAGGAGCACAAGAGTGACTGCTGCTTTCAGGACCATTAAACCTGTTCAGATCATGGCCATGATTTTGTTTGTGTTCACACAGCAAGTACCAAAACCTTTACCAATTTTCGTACCATTCCGATTAAGTAAAAACATTTTTTATAAGTAGAAATATTTGGTCAAAAATGACAGAAGAGCAAAATTCAAGATCCAATTCTAAGAGAAAAAAGACTTGACTTCTTTCCAGAATTGTCTATTTGCCTGTTTATATGATTATATTGCGAGACATAAACATGCAGTTCTGAGAAAAAAACTCGCAATTACCTTCTTCATTCTGTGGCGGAAACAAGCTTTCATAGATGAACGCCAACAAATAAGAATGGATCTGTCGAAACTTTCACTTGTCTTGAGTTTAAATGGAAAATACAGACTTTGTGTAAAAATGAATAAATAAAGTGAACACCTAAATATCGTGTCCTAGTCCACTCTGACCCACAGATGGAGAATCACACACACACACACACGTGACACTGTAAAACACACACGCGTTCCGCTCCAAAATTAGCTTTCACTGCCTATAACAGCAGATTTACTGGCGGCTTTAATTTGCAGTCTGCAGGCCGTCACACAACACAACAGGACAGGACGAACACACACACTCGCGTGAACACACACACATGCTTTCAATCAGGCAGTGCTGTCTCGGTTTACCGCTCATTCCTCCGCGCGCCTGAAGCTCATTCCTGCTTCACCGGGAGCCGTGCGCGTTCACACGTGTCAGGGTGTGTTCCACTAAACACACACACACACAACAACAAGCACACACAACCAGAGAGAACAGAAGTGATCTTCTGCATCATTACTCACATCACGCCACTACAGCAGCTGTATTTCTATAATAATGCGTTACTCAACACAGATCGTCCACACGGCGTCACACACGCGTTATTTCTGCATGCTCTCTGAACGTCAAAACGTCTCGTTTTCTCTGTTTTTAAGTGAACCGTCCATTCCTCAAACTTTATGGGAACGTTCATTTTCAACATTCTCTGAAACAAGAGGTTATCCAACTAAAACATTTCAGAAGAAAAAGTTCTGTGAATGAATGATGATGTATAATAATGTATTTGTTAGAGGAAAATAACAAACTTCAAATTCAATTTCAGCTCTACAGACGACAATCCTGTCATTATTCAGATCAGTTCAGGGTTTGTTCTCGTCTGATTCAGTCAAATTGATAATATTAATATTAAGTGTCTTTTAGACTGATCAAGACATAGGAATATTAAAGCACACATTACATTAAACACAACATTACAGATGAAAACAAAAAAAACTGTACAAGAAACAGTAATAATGGAATAAAAAAATATTCACACAATGAAAGCCAGTGTGTTGTAGAACAACTCTTGACCCCGTTGACTTTCATTATACGGACAAAAACAAGGACAACACGAGCGAGACATGACAGTCTGAACACACACTTCTCCACACACGAGATATACTCACACTGATGCGCAATCTTACACGCGTATAATAAGTATATAACTCGTTCAGTCTTACTACTTCAAAATGTCACATTTAATTCAGTGTGTAGCTTTCTGTTTCTTTGAGATAATTTGTGAAATTTACTAGCAATTCTGAGTGCAAGTAAATCCTGTAAAAGTAAAACCAGATTAAATAACTATAAAAACTGCTGGTTTTGCAATACCAAAATAGATAATAAAAGTAAGAACAACTGGAAAAAAAGGTGGAACTGAGACAGGCTGACCCAGTGTTATTTTACTACAGACGAATAAATAAGGTTGTGTCAGACGATCTCGACTCTTTGACAACATAGCAAACAAAAGCACGTTCAGTCAGTGATTCATTTACAAACAGCGTGAAGCCAAATACTGCAGCCGGCCAATCAATCTCTGTGCGGGAGAATTATTCATATCACAAGCAGAAAATATGGAGAGGAAATAGATCAAATATTTTATTTCAGCATCCTCCCTGTTTCAGATTAGCCAGATTTACAGAGAGAGAGAGATAGGAGAATCTGCAGATCAACGACTCATAAATCTCCAGAATCAGCCACATCACCAGTGGAACCATTCGAGTCATTCCAGACACAAGACAGGAGCAGACCTTCACGTGTTTTACTGCTCTAAACCACACTCAAAACACTCTCATATAGTTGTTGTTCACAGAAAATGTTCAATATTATATTACTTCAAATAATGCTTCAGCAGGAGGAGAGCCCATGATTCTGAATGCATATTTACACTCTACAGATGCATTATAAATGAGAAATATTGAGATGAAATTCAGAACAAATGCACTGGATTCACATGATCATCAAACCTACGATATATCGGTCGCCATGTCAGTATATGTTTGCCCGATATATTAAAGGCGATAAATATGTATCATTTCCTTCAGATGAGACTGTTCAACATGATGTAACAAACAAACGTTCTTCCAGGAACATTAACAGAACATTTGCTCTGGTCTTCAATAATGTTCTCAAAACACGACTTGCACATCATTCATGGAGCATTTATTTATCAAACATTTCAGTTGGACATTCTTCTGATGTTTTTTAAATGCTACTTTAGCATAGACCCCACCCACACCTACTGATAGACTCCGCCCTATTAGCATAGACCCCACCCACACCTACTGATAGACTCCGCCCTATTAGCATAGACCCCACCCACACCTACTGATAGACTCCACCCTATTAGCATAGACCCCACCCACACCTACTGATAGACTCCGCCCTATTAGCATAGACCCCACCCACACCTACTGATAGACTCCGCCCTATTAGCATAGACCCCACCCACACCTACTGATAGACTCTGCCCTATTAGCATAGACCCCACCCACACCTACTGATAGACTCCGCCCTATTAGCATAGACCCCACCCACACCTACTGATAGACTCCACCCAATAAGCATAGACCCCACCCACACCTGCTGATGGACTCCGCCCTATTAGCATAGACCCCACCCACACCTGCTGATGGACTCCACCCTATTAGCATAGACCCCGCCCACACCTGCTGATGGACTCCACCCTATTAGTATAGACCCCACCCACACCTGCTGATGGACTCCACCCTATTAGCATAGACCCCGCCCACACCTGCTGATGGACTCCACCCTATTAGCATAGACCCCGCCCACACCTGCTGATGGACTCCGCCCTATTAGCATAGACCCCGCCCACAGTGAGCTGAACATGTTTATCTCCTCGCCGGAGTGTTCAACAGCAGTATTCAAGTCAGAAATGTATTATTTTTAAAGCTACTAATGATAATCAGTCAAAGTGAGTTTCTGATTTACTTTAGTTTTTTTGATTCATATTCACAGCATGTATAGCAGTAGGTTCTGTTGGGGGTGTGCGATATCGTCTGCGATATTTATCATAATTGTTGTTTTAACGATGTGCGCTTTGACATCATTGAGTAGGCTATAGTCTATCCCTCACACACACACACACACACACACACACACACAGAGAGAGATTAGACTAGTACCGGTGTGCATTTAGAGTGCACGCTTTCACAGCTCGATTCAGTTTTTATCTATATCATTTAGTAATAAATATCACAAGAGTGAAGTATTTCTCCAGATAGCAGCATGATAACAGAATGTGAGATTGATTTTATACAAGTTTAATAAACAAGTTCATAACCTGTTAACTGTCACCCCCCCTTTTTTGAATAGACATGAAAATGCACATTTCGAACTTAAATGGTTGTAATTCAAGAATGCTTTGGAATATAGACATATGATTGGTCTTGTTTTAAAGAAGACATTTGGCAGATTTTTGTAGAAGTGAAATAAATTAAGAAAGTGAAACAGAAAAAAAGTTATAGAAGTTTGAGTTTATGGAAATGTACAATGTAAAAATATTAATTATTCATATTTTACATAAAATATATATTTTCAAAACCTGGGCTACTCTAAAATGGCAGAAAGATCAAAGCCAAAAATCTGAACAAGTTGTGTTTCAAATTTTAGGTTGATATCTCAAAAAATGAGCTTTCAGTGAGATTTTGTTTGAGCGCAGTACCAAACTTTTTCACTAGGGCACAACCAGACTCCATTACTGCACATATAAGGGCGCCTGCATTTCCATTCGTGTTTTGAGTGATATGAACCATTATTTCCACAATTTTCATACAATTTCTGAAGTAGAGATCCTATTCAGAAGTAGCATGGGAAGTTTGGCAGATTTTGATATGAATTGAACCTCTAAGAAACACATACAAAGAACACGCATGTAAGTCATAGCTAGCTGCCACGTCACAAATGGTGAATTTATTATTTTTTTCTTGATATTTTAAACTTTTCAGACCTTTTTTTTTCCAAAATAATTGAATGGATTCTATCTTTTGAACTTTTGGCATGAAAACAAACTGAGGTATCTACCATTTTTGCATGATTTTTCATGTTTACTGCTATTTTAAAATAAAGGTCTGAACACGCCTTATGAGTATGAAAATATTCTTGTTTTATATTGATAAATTATGGCTCCTCTGTAATATATTTTGAAAATCAGTCACCAAATATGGAAACTAGAGATTGTAAGCTTTCAAATGATATATAATTTGTCAATATTATTTAAGGTATTTACTAAGATATTATTGTTTTAAAAATATAGTGGCAAACGTCCCATCTGTGGGACGGTGACAGTTAAGTGGTTTGTGACATGCATTTTAGACACCATATTGCCTGTTTTTGCTGTATTTCACCAACGGACAAACACACACACGGCGGGGTTTCCTCACTCAGTGAATCGGTGAATCTCAATGACTCGCTCATTAACAGCGACCCGCTGCTGCCCCCTACTGGCGGGTTCAATCGCACATCTGAAGCATCTTTTCATTTTAAATATCAATATTCAATATTACAAACAAAGATAGATTTTGTTGATACTGCCTATTGTGTCTTATTTTTATAAGTGAATTTGATTAAATCTATGAAATTGACACAATAGATGATGCATGCATATAATTACGTTTAAAAGATCGCATTATCGAGGTACAAATGCCCATATAAGGTAAAAATCTATTAAAACATATTAGAAAAGATACTTTTTCTGCATGTAAGTATGAGGAATACCAAAGCTCCACTTAAGTCTCTGTCCAGAACAGTGCTAAACATGCCAGAGTACCAACACACACACACACACACACACACACACACACACACACACTCTGCAAAATATCGTCTAATAATCATTATAGAGAAAATCCCAGAAAATAGTCAATACTGCACACCCTTAGCTTCTATATTACACTGGTGTCACTTTAATACACAGATCTAATATACACATGCAAACTCTTTTTCTGTTTACGTTCCCAGACGTGTGTTTTTGGCATAACCGTATGTGTATTTGACAGTTTAAGCACAATCAAGTGATTAAAATATCACTCTCTCTCACACACACTCTCTCTCTCTCTCTCTCTCACACATGCACACACACTCACTCACTCACTCACTCACTCACTCTGTCTGTCTCTCTCTCTCTATCTCTCACTCACTCTCTCTCACACTCATACACACTCTCACTCACACACACACACACACACACACACACACTCAGACTCCCTGCGGACTGATGGAGTTCAGCTTCTGCTTTTCCTATCACTGGACAGAGTTTCAATAATCCACTCACACTGACACACAAACAGCAAATAGAAGCATTCTGATATCAGGCCATATACAGTATAATATACTAATATACTAATACAGCATCACCTGACCCTTGACCTCTCGGGTTCCGGTTGTCATCATGCGTCAGTGTTTTCTGACTGATGTTTTGTTATCAGAAAGCATTTCCACTATTAAACCAGCAGACAGAGACTTTTATTCAAGTATTCATCATGTCCTCAACACAGTGACGTCAGAGGGGTTCATTAATCTCTTCTAATGTTGCAGTCTGATAAACTCATGCACAAACACCAAAGTAAACGCTTAGAAGATACAGGATAAGTTTAGACTCGCGAGCGAGCGCGCGCACACACACACACACACACACACGTACTAACATGAATATTAGAGCAATCATAAAGCAGCGAACTTCGCCCGCACAGAACTCACCATATGACAGTCTGTGAGAGTCTCCGCATGTTTGAGTCTGAAGCGCGTCTGCGTGTCGAACTCTGAGCAGCACGGGCGCGTGCGCATGCGCAGTGCGACCACAGTATATTACTTGATTCATTTATATTTGCAAAACAATTTTGTTCACGTTTATGGAGTTATACATATACACATAACATTATTATTATTATTATTATTATTATTATTATAACATTTAAAATTAAATATTCTATATGAAATATTTTGAATTTTATTTATATTATATAGTGTGCATAACTCTCAGATAGGGGTATTACTTTATTTTATTTTTACTCTTAACTGTTTTTATTTATATTGATTGCATTTACTGAATGAGCACTGTGCCACTGTTTGTCCGACTGTTACTGTACTGTACATTTTATTTTCGACACTGTATTTTATTTTTATTATTATGATTTTTTTATTCTACACTGTTTTAAATTTTTTTTTACTTTAATTTCTTCCATGTAAAGCACTTTGAATTGCCACTGTGTATGAAATGTGCTATAAACTTGCCTTGCCTTGCCTATAACACCAATTCCCATCTCAGTTAACAGGGACGTTCTGTCAGAGTTCTGAACAAACGTTCTTCCAGTAACATTACGGTAATAGAACGTTCCTTCAGAGTTCTACAGTGTTTACTGTAATAATGTTCGTTACAACGAACATGTTATTCACATCATTAATGAGGCGTTTTTACCTGAAATATTTTAGTTGGATGTACATTCAAACGTAACATTCTTAATGTTTATAGAATTATACAATTGATCAGCCTCTTAATGTTTGATCTGGTGTGTGTGTGTTTGAGTGAGTGAGTGAGAGTCAGTGTGCGCGCGCGCGTGTGCGTGTGTGTGTGTGTGTGTGTGTGTGTCAGCTCATGGCTCTTGTGTCGAGGGTGGAGCTCCTGCACTGTTTTCAATGAAAGCTCAGTTATTTTTGCTCCAGACATGTTTACATTTCTGTGGTCGAGTCTCCAACTTTCCTCTTTTTCCTCTTTTTTCTGCTTCTCTCATTTCAGAGTCACAAACTACCAGACATTCCTGCCGTCTGCCAGAAACTGAGCCATGAGCGAAGAGAAACAATATAGAAGAGAGAGAGGGAGAGAGATGGGAGAGAGAGGGAGGGACGGAGAGGGAGACGGGGGAGAGAGAGGGAGGGACCCCCTCAATGTAAATTAATTTAACATCTCATCTCTTTAGGGGGGGGGGGGGGCTCACTGTAAATTAATTTAGCAACATTAAATGTAGCATAACATTATGTGTTTTTGTGTTTGCAAGTGCCTCTGGGATGGCAGACCGGGGTGGTGGTCCCTCTTTAAAAAAAGGGGGACCGGAGGGTGTCCGGTCTGAGCCGTAAGGCAAAGCTCTCGATTTACCGGTCAATCTACGTTCCTTCTCTCACCTATGGTCATATGGTCATGCTTGAAAGGACAAGATCCCGGATACAGGCGGCCGAAATGAGCTTTCTCCGCAGGGTGGCCGGGCGATCTCTTAGAGATAGGGTGAGGAGCTCAGAGTAGAGCCGCTGCTCCTCCACATCGAGACGGGTCAGCTGAGGGGGCTCGGGCATCTGTTCCTCCTGGACGCCTCCCCGGGGAAGACCCAGGACACGCTGGAGGGACTATGTCTCCCGGCTGGCCTCGGTGTCCCCCCGGAAGAGCTGGAGGAAGTGTGTAGGGAGCGGGAGGTCTGGGCATCTCTGCCCTCGCGACCCGACCCCGGATAAGCAGAACAAGATGGATGGACGGATAAAACACTATGTACATAACTGGTTAGGAAAAAAAACAGAAAAAATATGAAGAAACTATATTTCAACAAAAATGTCACACATGGATTTGTGGGAATGTCAATTTACAGTATTTCACTGTAAATTAAACCATGACTTGTTCTTTTTTCACTTCCAAAAACTGTAAATTTACATTAAATGTACAGTTAGATCTGTCATGGTTGTTCACCGTATATACGGAAATGGAATACGGAAACTTTCTGTAAACCAGTTAAGGCATTTCCAGTGGATTTTTACAGTAGCCTATTTTACCATTAATATCACAATCATGTTTTACAGTGCTGATCGATCTCTCCTCAGACTCAGGCCCTGTCCACACTACTGCGTTTTCCTTTAAAAAATGGAGATTTAAAACGAATACGATCTCTGTCCACACCATCGTTTTATCTGCATATTAGAAATGATCTCCGTCCACATTAAAACGACTCAAAACGAGGATCACGTGACCAACACTGGGCATGCGCGTGCCGGTGTCAACGGTGGTTGATTGACGAATCAGGGAAGGATACGCCATGACTGATGACACCCAATCCGAGCGTGAGCCTCTGCGTCATCGTTTCTAAACTCCTCCGTTTTGTTCCGTCTTCACTAAAACGCCCTCCGGAGATTCAAAACGCAAAACGGAGCTTCAGCGTTTCTAAACTTCTCCCTTTTAGGTCTTCGTTTTTCCCGTTTTAGTGTGGACAGGAGGTGCAAACGTAGCAAAAGGTCTCCGTTTTTAAACGAAAACGCAGTAGTGTGGACGGGGCCTGAGGTATTCATCCCTTGACTTGTCACAGCTCTGATGCCAAAACACAGAATGGTCCACACACGGTCCCGACACGATCCTGACACGGAAACGTCTTCCCTGATTAGTTCCACTGGACTTCACTTTCTCTCTGGCTTTATATACCCATTAAACCCGCACTCCCCCCAGTGGCCAGCAGGGGAACTACAGCATATTAAACATAAGAGGGTGAGATGAGATTGGCAGAAATTCTACTATGATATTTGACTGCATTAGCCTATAATAAAAGATAATGTATTTCAAACCTCAAAACAAACATATTTTTATTCAAAGATAAAAAGTCTGTCGTTACTCTTTAGTCTGTCACAAAAAAACACAACAAGATTAAAATCATGAACTCACATGTCATTGTGAAAAACAAAATAAAAAATGACTGATTGTAAAAGTGCGTGAATCAGACCTTCAGGCTATAGCCATTCACAATCTGAATGAAAATTAACTTATCAATTCATAATTCACTCCCTTATCAATTCAATTCACTCACACTCACACACACACTCTTCTGTGTGTAACCCTGAATACGTCACATGTAGGGTAATTCTACTTTTTTACACTTCGTTTTTTTCTTTGTTATTAACCCTGCCCATTATTGTCATGTTGTTGTTGTTGTTTTTATTATTTGTAATTATTTTTTAAGAAAACATTATTAGTTTCCCCCCATTATTGAGAAATAACAATTCCAGTAAAATGTGTAAACTGGTGAAACTGGAGAAGCGCTGGTCCTTCCGTATATCCGAGTGAAGCGCTTCTGGAACAAGAACAAATTAATGAACATAATGATGTGCATCAATAAGTCATTCAGGCTTACAATAAACACAGCAAGAAAAAATAGGACGCGTTAATTTAGCTTTTCTGTAATGACAGTGAACTGAAGATGATGATCTCCTCCAGCAGGAGGCGCTATACGCACACAGGAGAACTTCTGATTATCATCATAATCACTCAGATGATCCTGAATGATGCAGTCTCTGAACAACACACACACACACACACACACACACAGCAGAACTCAAACATGTGCTGATATAGTTCGGAACATAACACGCTCGGAGCGGAGTCCTGTGTTTACAGTCTGTTTCGCGCTCTCTCCTTGACCCCTGCGTTATGAATATGGATATGAATATGAATATGAGCACCTAACGAACATTCGGTGTCCATGGAAACATCCTCACTCAAAGCGCTGTCTGGGAGCGAGAGAGAGAAAAGGTCACGCGCGCGCGCGAGTGTTTTCACGGACACGAGGGCCACGGGTTGCTAAGCAACAGTCAATGCGCGAGAGAGCAGACAGAACAGAAGTTGATCTTCAGATATCAGAGATACTGGATTCATGATGCAGAAACACAGCAAACAACAACAAACACATCAGATATCATCATGAGTGAGGAAAATCGATCATGCGTGAACACTATAACAACTGTAACATCGTTTAACTGTTTAGTAACTTACGTCCAGTTCAGAGAACATTCAAAAATAACAACTTTCCTATTTAATCTTTGAAGAATGATACAATGTAGGCTAATGTTCCGTGAACGTTCACATAACCAAGAAAAAAAAAAAACATTTTTAAAAACTGGACGTTCATGAATAACGTTTTGGGAATGTTAGCAAACTTTCTTAGAACATATTTTCTTAGCTGGTTATTTACCCAGCATGCATTACAGCGCAAATAACTTGTCCATTTGCGTGTTCATTCATATTCAAAGTCATTAGTCAATATTTGACAATTCAGCAGACATCACAATCATAACATGTCAGATATGTGTGAAATAATAGCTCATGATTACTGTAATAGCTGATGGATCGTTTTGCATGTAAGGACTTGTTTCGGTTGAGACGAGTTTTGATCAGCACAATTACTCTAGTGTGCTTGTTTACCTAGTCAATTATTTTATCCCTTAAAACTCATCTCTGATCTCTAAAATTACATATTTAAACTTTTTTCTTTGAAAAAAAAAAAGATTCATGCCTTAAAATATCTTGACTGTAACTCGACACCCTTTCCTTATTTAAGATGCGCGGTTCTATGAATATGCAAATGAGCCCCGCCCCCACTAATTATACTAATAGTGGGTGAAACTAATTATACAGAGAACTTTAAAATATAAAAATTAATTTACGAATAGAGCAAAAACTGCTTTTTTGGCATCAAATGGCCTGATTTACCCAAAGTTCACGATGCACTATGGTATTCTCTCGTCTGAGTCATGAAGATGATAAACCCTCACTCTGCAGATCTGTGTGAAACTAGCGGAGCGAGATCTGAGATCTGTGTTCACCAGTTCAGTTCTGCACGGTAAAAAATGTTGGGTTATTTTTTAACCCAACCGTTGGGTCGCTATGTTGGGTTATTTTCCAAAAATGTGCAATGTTAAAATCATTGGGTAACTTCTAGTAATAACCCAACTGTTGGGTTAAATACCCACGTTGTATGTACAAATGTGTATTTTGCTTTTAAGTACACAATTGTGTATTTACATTAAATTCTAGACTCTCCAATATTTAGTGTATTTTATTTATTAAAATAATGTCATAAATACAAATAAATAGTTAACTGTTGGGTTACTTTGAACCCAACTGGCTTTTAACCCAATGCATTGGGTTACACTCACCCACTTGGAAAGTGTTATACCGCCCTATATTGGGTTACTGGTTGGGTTATTTTTAACCCAACATGATTAAGTTCCCCTGTTCTCCCTGTTTGTGCATCATGGATGTTCTTCACTTCAGTGATGGTCCTCTGAGGCTCTGAGAACACACACTCTAAAAAATGCTGGGTTGTTTTAACCCAATTTTGGGTCAAATATGGACAAACTTAAAATGCTGGGTTAAAAATGTAATGTAAAAATTTAACCCAACGGCTGGGTTAGTCCATATTTGTTATTATTGAGTGTGTGTGTGTGTGTGTGTGTGAGGAAACTGCTGGTCAACGCTGACAGAGAGGAGTGTGTGATTGCTGCTGAGTGTGAATCCTGACCGACTCGAGCGACAACTCACACGAACCCGGTGTCATGTAAGAGTCGGGTCAGTGTCGGTGCCATCAGGAGTTACAGGAAGTGCTCCCGGTCCCGGCTGACCTTAGTATATCCTAATTATCATTCCGCTGATTTGAATGATATAAATCGATAGTGTGTTATTGTAAATGCAGGTTAAAGAGATGTGTTTAGTCTAGATGTAAACGGGCAGAGTGTGTCTGCTTCACGGACAATGCGAGATTAGAGATCCACCGATAACTGATAATTATCATATTTAAAAGCCGATAACCAACATTTTGGCTGATAAATCTACATCCAATTTTTTTAAATAATTTTTAACAACCTGATTACAAAAACAAAAGCCTCACAATTAAAAGCCACATCCCAACACACAATTATGACGTTCTTATAATAATGTTATAGCCGATATGAGACATGTTGCGCTGAGCTGCGTTTTCCTTTTATAAAGTGATTCCAATCATATTTCATAATCATCATGCTGATCAGTGCACATCTGAAGAGTCTCAGCGGAAGGAAATAATACATTATATATGAAGCTTTAATATTTTGGCCAAATTTCTTTATCAAGCCGATAACGATAAATATGGCTAATATGGTCATACTTCCTGGTTCTGGTAAGATCTGGAGCGGCTGTGTTTTGGACTAGCTGGAGTTTGTTTATTAAGAGTGCAGGACAAACACCCAGTAGAGCATTACACTCATCTAGCCTTGATGACATGAACTGTCAATGAGAGCATATGGCGCAGTTTTAGAGCAGTTTTAGACAGTATTATGGGTTATTACGTTTTGTCCAATAATTAAAATCTCTGTTTTTTCAGAATTTAGTAGCAGGGAATTACTAGTCATCAGTGTTTATATCAGCTGTGCATCAGCTTGGGCCGCTCGCACCAAGAGACGATAACGACAGCACACAATATCATTCTGTTCATTCTGTGGTTTAGTCTCTGCTGATTTAAATGCTCTCTAATGCAGGACGGAATCTGATTGGCCGTCAATGTTTTTATTGTTCTTCAGCAGGAAGGAAAAAATATATTTCAATATATATATCGTTCTTGGAGTGAATGAGCATTTAGTAATCTGTGATATTAATTATGTGTAAGGACAGGAGGCTTTGGTCGTCCCTGCGTTTTTTTTGTTTGTTTTTTTTTTTTTATCAAAATAGGCTTAGGTTTTACATTTGTAATTTTATGGTTGTTCTGTAAAATAAATTATTTGTATATTATTATTATCAATAAATACTCAAGTTTTTTAAATTTTATTTTACTGTTCAATTGTAGCCTACTGTAGTAGCCTATTATTATATTTCCTTAATGATCAGTTTATTTTTTTATAGTTTATAAATAATAATAATTATTTAGTAAACAAATATCTCTTTAGAGGTTGCATTATAACTTCTATATAATTGCATCTAGATCTGTTTCCCAACTCGTTTCCCCTATTTTCAATGAAATAATGCACGTACAGATAATATCACATCATTTGAACTCGAGTCATAAAGTTAGTTTACTGTACATAAGTGCACTGGCTCGTGTGCGCGCGGCCTGTTGCGCCTTTGGCCCCTCCCACCTCTGTCGTCATCATCACCCGTGAGCGCGCGCGCTGAACTCGCTCATAAATACTGAAGATTCGCTCACGCGCACAGACGAAACACAACCTAAACGCGCTCACTAACCTACCGACACACACACACACACATACACACATACACACACACACATATAACACGAGCTGCGAATATCAGCGCCATTGATCGATATATCAGGAGTGTAATCGATCGATCAGAGGAATAGAACAAACCGGAAAATTCACATCGGAATTACTTCATATATTTCTGCGGGAGTTCAACAGGTTAGTAGCATTAACCGATCAATACTACAATATTATCAACATCATCAATTAACAGGATTTACAGACAGCAGTTTGATTCTGTTCATTCTACTTTTATTTCTATTCATTTCATGTTCTGTTTTGTTTACAATCATGTATGTATTTTGATTCTGCAATTATGATGTGAAATATACATGAATAATCTGATTCAGGGAATGACTATCGTGTACTGTATAGTGTTATATAATGTATATGAAGCTGAATCGCATTCTATTCTGCTCGCTCATCAGTGAGTCACGAATCATGAATCATGAATCACATTCACGTTCGACTCGCAAGAAACTTTCACAGATTCTCTTCTGATCAGACATTAATCCAGTTAAATTATACACGTTAACATTTACGCTTTACTGTTGTTGATTTTAAGTTAGATAATGATTATGATAATAATAATAATAATAATAATGTATTTGTCATAAATATTTTCTAGCTTTCTCAGGTCTCAATGTGCAACATGGAGCCTATTTTACCTGGATTTAGAAACACACTAAAGGTAAGATCAGTATTTATTCTTAATATTATTATTTTTTATTTCTCAGCCAGTTTTGTGTATTTGATGTTACACACCCAGATGTGCTCGTTTATTATCAGACACACATCTGCTTGTTGTGTGAGAGCGCGCTCTCGATTAGATCTGTGCTGTGATTGGTTGAGAGGAGGAGAGCTGCTGTAAATTCATTGGAGGTCAGGTCGGGCTCGCCCACGCAGTTCAAGCTGGCACGGAACCGGAAGGCCATATATGGTCGTGTGCTCCCATTTGTGGCGCGGCTCTAGTGATGATGTCATGCGTAAGGGCGTGTCCACTGGGGTTTTCCTGACTGTGCCGGTTTGAACTGAACAAAGAGTTTTGTGTGTGTGTGTAGGTGTTGGTGTGTGTGTGTGTGTGTGTGTGTGTGTGTGTGTGTGTGTGTGTGTGTGTGTGTGTGTGTGTGTGTGTGTGTGTGTGTGTGTGTGTGTGTGTGTGTGGTTGTGTGTGTGTGTGTGTGTGTGTGTGAGATATTATTTTAACCTGTTTCACTTTCATCCCCATGGTTGTAATTCATGAATGCTTTGGAACACAACCTCAGATTATTAAAACACTCAGCAGATTATTGCAGAAGTGAAAGCACTTCAAACCTGAAAGTGTATAAAATTTTAGAAGTTTGACTACTGTTAAAGGAGTAGTTCACTTTAAAAAAAAACTTTTGCTGATAATTTACTCTCCCCCGTGTCATCCAAGATGTCCATGTCTTTCTTTCTTCAGTCGAAAAGAAATGAAGGTTTTTGATGAAAACATTCCAGGATTTTCTCCATATAATGGACTTCAATGGGAACCAAACGGTTCAAGGTCCAAAAGACAGTTTCAGTGCAAACTGTTCAAAGGGCTTTAAATGACACCAGACGATGAATAAGGGTCTGATCTAGGACCTTTCGACTCAGGACTCAAAAAAATTCATTTTGATGACGAGTTCGAACAGGAGAGTCACGAACGCTCGTCACAGAACAGAGCAAGGCGAGCATTTGGGCTTATAAAACTTGAACTTTGTTATTTATTTATTAAACGAGCGATCGTTTCGCTTGATAAGACCCTTATTCATCGTCTGGAATCGTTTAAAGCCCTTTGAACAGTTTGCACTGAAACTGTCTTTTGGACCTTGAACCGTTTGGTTCCCATTGAAGTCCATTATATGGAGAAAATCCTGGAATGTTTTCATCAAAAACCTTCATTTCTTTTCGACTGAAGAAAGAAAGACATGGACATCTTGGATGACATGGGGGCGAGTAAATTATCAGCAAAAGCTTTTTAAAAGTGAACTACTCCTTTAAGCAAACTAACTGAACTACACGTTATATGTTATTTATTTTTTTACAAAATAATTTGGCCTCTAGAAAAACCACACAGCCACATGTCCAGGTTGAAGCAGGTTGTGTTCCAAATTTAAAGTCCCCCGTCGTCAATAACCCGACCCCTTAAAACTCATCTTTGATATCCAAAATTACATATTTAAACATTTTTTGTTACTGCCTTAAAATATCTTGAATGTAACTCGACACCCTCGCCTCATTTAGTATGTGCGGTTCTATGAATATGCAAATGAGCCCCGCCCCCACTCACTCCACTGGTTGACGATCACACGTTGATCTGATTGGTTACAAGGTGGTTTGTGACGTCAGAAACACCAGCGATTTCAAAGCGTGTTTTTGAGACTGTCTTTGGTTCACTGCAGTTTAAGGAGGAAATACTCAGCAATGCTGTCCACTTATCAACGCACACACGGTGTGTGTTAAAGCGGATTAAACACACCACACACACACATAAACAACATTAAACGAGAGACTTTACAGTTGGTTCCTGTGAGATGTTGTTTATGCACTTTACTGATCTATAATAGTGAATATTGACGTGCACCGATACGTCATTTAGAATAAACTCTGTAAAGAGGCGTGTGTGTGATTGGTGGTGGCTGTAGCTTTAACAGCGCTTGTGTGTGTGTGTGTGTGTGCTCCTCAGCGGCAGGTGGCGTTCGAGACGTTTGACGACCCGATGTCTCTGTTCTCCGGCTTCTGTCCGCTGGAGGAGGAGCAGGCGGTGCCGTCCGGCCTGGACTACAGCGCTCAGGGTAATCTCACCTTTAACCTCTGCTTATCCAGTCCCAATCTACATTACAGTACGGGAAATAACATACAGATATCATTCAGATTTAGTGTGTAACTGCAGCTGAACATCATCCGCTGATGAACACTTACACACGCAGCGTTTGCTTTACAAACACCACAGAAGCCGAACTAATGTACACTTCAAGCATTATTAAACACTATAAACACTCGAGCAATCGCAACAGATAGACACAACTGAACAAAGATACGAGTGAAACAAACAGTGTTTTAAGATTTTCAGGGTCGGGAACTGGAATCAAATGTAAAATAACACTGCAGTTTATACATCAAATATACATTACAGGTATAGTTACAGAGTTATTCAGTGAAGAGCGAGTGTGTGTTCTCCGGCTCCTGTTGTGTGATTAGTGTTATTATAGAGACTGTCACTGTCACTTTAAGAGCTGCGGGTCCAGTACACACACACACACACACACACACACACACACAGTCTCGCGCTTCAGTGGTTTAAACTCATATTGAAAGGAATCGATAAGAGGAACGAAGTTTTAATTTTATAACGAGTATCCTAACCCTGACCCCGAGTACTCGACCCCTGACCCCCGACCCTCCTCATTACTGGCCATCATGTTGCTGTAGGTTCACGGCAGATCTGGTCTCGTGTGTGTGTGTGTTTCAGACGGCGGAGTGTGTGCGGTGCCGCTGCTGACGCCCTGCAGTAAAGCCGTGGTCAGTCAGGCGCTGATGGACAGTTTCAGCGGCTTCTCGAAGGTCCAGCGCATCTGTGGCATCTCCAGCAGTGAGTGTCCTCCGGGACCTCATCTCACATTCACACTATTTTAAACGATATTAATGTTAAGAAAGCAACTATATTTAATTTCTACAGTGTTGTTGCACATTTAGGCTTGTTATTCATCTCTGTAGCTGGAAACTACTGTTAGACCTGTAACTTTATTTAACTTTATTTACACATCTGAGCCGCCGCTGACCACATGTTAGCTTCGAGGACGACGTGTGTGTAATGACGTGTGTGTCCCGTAGACCCGTGTAAGTGGAGCAAGCAGCACGTGTCTCAGTGGCTGTACTGGGCGTCCGGAGAGTTCAGCCTCACCAACATCAACTTCTGCAAGTTTGACCTGAGCGGGCAGGAGCTGTGCGACCTGGGCAAGGACAGCTTCCTGGATCTGGCTCCGGACTTCGTGGGCGATATTCTGTGGGAGCATCTGGAGCAGATGATGAGAGGTAGCGCTCGCAGACCTGGACAAATCCTCTCAACTGAGGACTAATATACAATATAGAGGTCTTGCCGGAGCCAACTTTTCATAACTTTTCATAATTACGTGTTCATTTTTCTGTCGCATTTACAGAATTATTTTATATCAGTGCAGTGAATGAATCTTGATTTAAGAGTGTTTAGATATCTGTGTAATATAAAGACAGAAACACTGAGGAGGGAAATCACTGACTAAAACTCTAATCAAATGTGAAGACTAGAGATGCACGATCAGCTTTTTATCAGCTTTCAAACATAAAGAATTATTGGGTATCGGCTTTCAAATATAAAGAATTGTCGGTTATCGGCTTTTCAAATATAAAAAATTAGCGGTTATCGGCTTTCAAACATAAAGAATTATCGGTTATCGGCCGATATATGCAACATGTGCAGCGCAAGCCTGTCATATCGGCTTCATAACATTATCATGAGAACGTCATAATTGTGTGTTTGGGACGTGGCTTTTAATGATGAGACTTTTGTTTTTGTAATCAGGCTCTCAAAATTATAAAAATTTGGATTTAGATATATCAGCCAATATATTGGTTATCCACTTTCAATATAAAGAATTAGCGGTTATCTGCTTTCAAATATAAATAATTATCAGTTATCTGCTTTCAAATATAAAGAATTATCGGTTATCAGCTTTCAAATATAAAGAATTATCAGTTATCGGCTTTCAAATATAAAGAATTATCGGTTATCGCCTTTCAAATATAAAGAATTACCGGTTATCTGCTTTAATAATTATCGGTTATCTGCTTTCAAATATAAATAATTATCAGTTATCGGCTTTCAAATATAAATAATTATCAGTTATCGGCTTTCAAATATAAAGAATTATCAGTTATCAGCTTTCAAATATAAAGAATTATCAGTTATCAGCTTTCAAATATAAAGAATTATCGGTTATCAGCTTTCAAATATAAAGAATTATCGGTTATCTGTATCGGCCAAAATGTAATGATATGCGTCTGTAATGTGGTGTAATACGAGCTGATGTCTGATTGGATATTGTGGTCCTCAGCCTGTCAGGAGGGCGGCGAGCGGAAGCTCTCTGAGTGTGGATGGACAAGCAGCAGCTCCAGCAGTAAGTATACAACATTTTACTCCTAAAAACAACAGAAATGTATTTTTTCTCTGTCTATTGACAGTATTTTCTGATTTATGAAGTGAAAACTTGTTTTTTATCCAATGTTTCCAAAATTTCAGCAAATGGTTGCATGTTGAAACAAAACCCTATTCCAGAAAACCCAGAAAACATTTGTCTTAATATACTGTAATTAATCAACTGTGGAAAGAATGATGACGTCTAGTTAAAGTCTTCACCTGTAGTGTCTTGTCTGATAGCGTCAGATGTTCAGAACAAGCCCTGAGGGGAAGGTTTCATCAACAGTGTGTGTGTGTGTGTGTGTGTGTAGGTCTCAGTGTGGAGGAGTGTTCTCTGAAGGTTCCCGATAACCGCATGAGTCTCCTCCGGGAGCTGTTCGAGACTGATTCGGTCCTGTCGGCATCGGGTCAGGAGCTGTCCATGTACCCCCGACCTGAGCTCAGCACCGTCAGCATCCGCTACACGAGCCGCGAGTTCCCCGCCGCTAAAGCTGCGCAGCGTCTCAGCGCAACAGGTCAGAGATCAGCGATCTCACGCATCCGCCAGCGCCAGGGCTGGGGTAACAAGTAGCAAGAGTATTACGTAACCAGATAACGAGTAAATGAACGCATTTCTTTGCATGAGAAGTACCATAATTAGACCGTTTTTGAGGGAGTGACGCAACATTGTAATGTGTGACCATCCCAGCCCCGGCGGCCCTGTGTTTGGTGTAAGAGAGTGTGTGTGACGGAGGCTGTGTGTTCTCCACAGTGTCGTCCCGTGATCAGACGTCGCTGGAGAGTGTGGAGAGCGCTGAGGAGTGTGTGCTGCGCTCCTGGGGAAGCCACTCGTCTCTCGCCGACGCCCAGCGCGTGCCGTCCTACGACAGCTTCGAGGAGGAGTTAGGCTCCGCCCCCCTGGGTCTGGCCAAACAGGGGCTGTCCTTCAAAGACTACGTCCAGGAGCGGAACGAGCCGCCGGAGCAGGGCAAGCCTGTGATCGCTGCCGCCGTGCTCGCTGGCTTCACCGGTGCGTCTCACACACACACACACACACACACACACACACACACACAATTAACCAAAATTAAGAGTTGTTGCTTAAAAGAAGCAAAATGATGAAAATAATCTTAATTCAAACAGAAACACAATCATTTTTCTGACCGCATTGGCAGATCATTTTGCTTCTTTTAATCAACAACTCCAGAAAACAAGCCCTCATGCCTCACGGTGTGTTACTCCTCGTGGAAACGCATCTCCATTTAAGAATCTTCAGACATTTGGACTGGAAACAAGACACACACACACACACACACACACACACGAACGAAGCCTTGTGGTGGTCGAGTGTTTGAGCTGTCTGTGGCTTGTGAGTCTGATGTGTGTGTGTGTGTGTGTGTGACAGGCAGTGGCCCCATCCAGCTGTGGCAGTTCCTCCTGGAGCTCCTGACGGACTCGAGCTGCCAGAACATCATCAGCTGGACCGGCGACGGCTGGGAGTTCAAGCTCACCGACCCCGACGAGGTGACGCACACACACAAACACTAGCCTGTCGAAATCTTATTAGCCGCGTTTCGGTCTCGTGACCTTTCAGACATAAACCGCACCATACTTATTTGATTTCTTTGTTTTAATCTAATGCATTCATTTCTAATTTAGTATTGCTGTATTTAACCCTCAGGTGCTCTTCCGTCATTTCTGACCGAAAAGTTTTCTGTTTTGAATTTTTAAAAATCACAGCTTCATCGAAATGTTACGAAACGTGGTGACTTTTATGGCATTATGTATGTGAACACACAAAAAATTGAGGTCATGATCTGAGCATGCTAAGTGGTCATAAAAAAAATAGTCACACTTGTGGTCTTCGGTCAAAAATGACCCCCATAGGAAATGAATGGGAAATTGTAAAAAATGGAAAAAAAAATTGTGAATTTTTGTTTTTTTGTCAAATTTTTTAATAAGAAATAGTTTTTGAGATTGTTTCAACTATATATTCAAATCCACCAACAACAACAAAAATGTGTTCATAAACAGCTGGGGAATTCACATGCCTCTCCATAGAGAGCTGTACATGCCATCTAGTGGTTACACCAGGATTCTACGCTTTTTCTCTATACTGTAACCAGATGGTGCTAATTTTCTTCAAAAAATATTTTTTTTCTGAAGGCCTAGACTCTATATTAAACTAAAATACTGCGTTAATATTTTTTTGAAAAAAATAATATATTTATAGAAAAATATATATATTTTTCCATGGCAAAAATAAACCATAAATATTGCATAAATATTAATAAATTCAATTAAATTGTCTCAAAATACTAAATTAGAAAGAATAAATATTATAGAACAAAAATAAATTGCATTGGTTTTACTGGGATGGAGAAAGTTTCATTTTTATATGATAACAAGATAACAAGTGTGACTCCGAAACGAAGAGCACCTGAGGGTTAAAAAACAAAATCTTAATAATAATATTTTTATGAAGATGTTTGGCCCAGTGTGAGACGGTGTGTGTGTGTGTGTGTGTTCCTCAGGTGGCCCGGCGCTGGGGGAAGAGGAAGAACAAGCCGAAGATGAACTACGAGAAGCTGAGTCGAGGCCTGCGCTACTACTACGACAAGAACATCATCCACAAGACTTCTGGGAAGCGCTACGTCTACCGCTTCGTCTGCGACCTGCAGAGCCTGCTGGGATACACGGTGGAGGAGCTGCACAGCATGCTGGGAGTGCGAGCGGACACCGAGGACTGAGGCGTGTCGTGCGGACCCGGAGAGGTCTGGTTTCTCGGCCTGTGTGACGGAGACTCGAGGAGTTCTTCTGCTTTATCCAGACGTTCGCTGAGGTCAGGCTAACGGAGAGAGCATCACTGAACCTTTACTGTGAACTTTGACCTCAGACATGGATCTGTCCTGTGTTTGGCGAGCGATCGACTGATCTCGCTCAGGGTGAAGAGACGGATGAATGTTTACGTGTTTACCAAAGCTACGAGTCGTCTCAGTGCGCCGACCTCTGAGAAACTGCTGTAATCTGAACGTCTCGTCCGGCTCTCTCGACTACACGTCTGCTGTACGAGTGTGTCCTATATCTGACATATTCCACTGGGGTTCAACTGCTCACACACACACACACACACAACAGACACTCTTTGCAAAACATAAAACACAATTCTCTCTGTAACAAACACTCTTTACTGAACACACACCGATCATGGCTTTAGAACAGGCCTGTAAAGGTCAAAGGTCAAGATCTGGGTGCTTCGGACTGTAATACTGTATTCACAGCCACAAACGCTTACAGTCAAAATAGATGGTTTGGGTTCAATGTTGCTTTCGTGTTTACCGTGAACGCTTCAACATCTCGGCCGATGACTTTCACTCGTGTCCAGAAACGTTCATCTGAGCTTCAGGTTTTCAGTAACTGTGTGTATATGATATATCCAGAAATATTATATTATGGCAGAGGTGTTTACAGCGCTTTTGAGGTGTGTGTGATATTCTGAATGCGGTGCTTCATTTAGCAGGAGATGTGCGGCGTTTTCAATTCTTGGATTTGTGTGTAAAGTGTTGAAAAAAAATAATGTAAGCAGCTGCAGTTTTGCTAACGTTCCCATTATGTTATGAAAACGTTATTTCTGAATATTCTGTCAACTATTTTTTTAAATGTTTTTTTGTTGTTGTTGCTATGTGAAAAGAACGTTGTGTTATCATGACTGGAAGAACTGTTGTTCATCTCTCGGAGAGAACGTTTCCCGGACTATTATTATTCTCATAATTTATACAGATCTGTAAATGTGTTTATACGTGTGTATTTGATTGTTTTCTGGGTTCAGACGGGTTAATATGTTTATTTGACAGATGATGTACGAGCGAGAGATTAGTGATCAGCTCAAGTGTTTCTATGGATCTTCTGAATCACTCAGTCTTTATTATCAAACCTTTATTAGTCAAACATGTGATGTTCGTCCTCTGAACCGAGTGACTTACACTGGTGGAAACATGTTCACTATGACTGTGTGTGTGTGTGTGTGTTGGAATGTTTGAGAGGCATTTGACTCATAAGAATCTGTCCAGACGTGCATCTTTATGCAGTTTAATAACTCTGCGAAAGTCAACAAATAAATTCTGTTTAACTGATGTGACGTGTGGAGCGTTTCTCTCTGAACTACATTTCTGACTCCAAGGCCAAAGTACATACTGTATGTTATCTTTAATATGTTTCCTCTGGTACATCTGCTAAACAAACACAAATTATTTTAGTCTTTGTCCACGTTCATCTGTGTTTAGTGTGTACGTGTTCCTGTTTGAACATAAATCTCCTCTATATCAGTGTCAGTGTTCCTGAACTCCTGAAACGCCTCCATTATATCTTGAGTTTCTTCCGGGAACGTCACAATATTCCTCATTATAATAATTAATATGCAGATTAAAGGGGCGGAGCCTGGTTGAGTTAGTTAGTAGTGTGTTAAACTGGAAAGGTTATGGAAAGGGGCGGGACATTTCCCAAACACACTTGAAGTACTCGACCAATCACAACACACTGCTCCAGTTGACCAATCAGAGCATAGTGTGCTTTACTGAAGGAGGGGCTTCATAGAGACGGGAAGTAAACTGAGCGTTTACTGCACTGTAAACAATATTGATGGTTTAACTTAAAAAAGTAGGTAACCTGGTCGCCTTAAATTTTTAAGTTGATTGAACTGGAAAAAGTGAGTTAATACAATGAAGGAGAATGATTTAATCATCAGAAACTCAAAATTATATGTTATCTGAACTAAATAAATTATTTAAGTTGATTTGACAAAAGAAAAAACGTTGTGATAACAAATCTTGAAAATATTTTTTACAGTGTGACAGACTGGGGAGAGAGGAGCCTGGAATGACAAAAGGTATTGCCGTCTTTGTAACACTCAATAATTCAGAAATTGTTTCTGTGAGTTTAGACATTAATTTAGAATTGAGAGATATAAACACAAAATTGCAAGAAATACAGTAATTTAAATTTTTTTCTCTTACGTTAGCTCAAACAAGCTTCCATGGTGTTTTGCTGTCGATGGGTTGAATCTTGATTTTTTTCCTGTTTTAGCTTATTTTAAATCTGGTTTTCAGTAGTTTAAACTAGTCATCTTGAGGCCCCTAGTGGACGCCTGAGGTACAGTGACACACAGACGGTTTCGGCAGGTCTTCCCTCAAGGGTGTCAAGGAGAGGTGTGGCATCCAATGGCTCGTTTCCACTGAGCGCTACGGTACGGTACAGTTCGGTTCAGTACGCAATTATTTGCGTTTCCACTGTCAAAAGTTGTGAATGGTACCAAAAAGCCGAACCGTACCGTACCACTTTTTGGGTACCCTTCCGTTGGGGTAACTAGCACAGAGATATGGTACTAAAAGGTGGAGCTAGACTCACTGCAGAACCCTGATTGGTTGACACAAAGTTGAAATATAATTCTACTGTTATTGTGTCACGAAAAGTAGTTTTAAGAGTTTTTCAGGCGAGAATGTAGTTTTTTAAAGCTCAAATCTGTGGTTTATTTATAGATTTATGATAATTTTACTGAGAGCGATCACCGGACGCTCGCGCTCGTGTCCCCCGCCTGGAACAGCCTTTCCTCGGCTAGTCGTTCTGATGTTTGCCGCTGACTCGGACGTCTCTGTAGTGGTTAAACATGAGATATAATTCGTCTTGTATAGACCTAACAGGCGATCTTTGGTCTTGTGAATCTATAATTCGTTCCCTGGCCAATAGTTTTGGCAGAAGGCTGAGTGAAGTTTCATATATTGGAGCGCTGAATTTGTATATTTGACTGAATTGTTTGTTTTATGTTATTAATTACGTCAGAATGGAGTGCCTCAGGGCTCAGTGCTGGGACCGCTTCTCTGCTCCATTTTGTAAGGCCCGGCTCAATCGATCCAATGGCGGCATTCGATCACTGCGTATTACTGTCTTTTCACATTGCAAAGTATTTTGATTAAATGCAATACATTTTTCATATGTATTCTGGTTATTTCATCTGACTCCATAAAATGAAAAGGTTTTTAATTATATAAAACATGCTCCATGTACTGTGCTAGAATAACTGGGACTGGTCACAGCACTATTGATTTGATTGCTTGCATTGCTCTCCTCATTTGTAAGTCTCTGGATAAAAGCATCTAAATGACTAAATTCAAGCGCGTTAGTTCAGGCAGGACACATCAGCCCAGCTCGCACCAGCTGATAGCCAGCTGCACCTGACGTGTCCAGTGTCGACATCTATCACAGCGGCACATATAAACTCCCGTTCCCCCAGTGCATCATCGCTATCGCATTTAAACTCTACCTCAACCCATCTGAGCCTTTAATCATTCACACTATTTTGTTTTTCCTGTACGGTTCAATTCATTGCAAGCTTTTTTCTATCACGTATTTGTATTTTCACAACTCATGTAATTGAGAATTGTAATTATGTCTGCATATACTGGTTCTGTTCTGTACCCCGAATCATGCCAACACTAGCTATACACTGTTATTGTTATAAAGCTATAGGCTATACTTGGCGAAGTGGTCCTGACTGAAGTCATGTTGAGCGCGTTTAACCCGCAGCTCTCCGACATTAAACCCACACACACACACACACAGCTGAGTCAACACTCAACTGATGCTCTCAATGCACAGCTGCTCTCTTCATACAACCTTCACACACACAAACACACACACACTTCCCTGATGCTGAGTGTTAGAGAGAGAGAGAGAGAGAGAGAAAGTTTGAGCATGTGTGTGTGTACGTGTATGTGTGCGAGAGAGAGTGTTTGTGTGTGTGTGTGTGTGTGTGCGTGTGTGTGTGTGTGTGAGATCATGGTTTAGGGGTAGGGTTAGTGTGTGTGTTTATGAGGACAGAAATGTGTATAACGACACTGGTATAATTACAACGTGATGAGGACATTTCCTCAGCCCTCAAAACCGCCCAAAATCGATTACAATATCCATAACAAGGCAGAGGCCTACATCAAAGCGTACAAAGATAAGCATGTCATGGTACCTTTAAAGACTGTGAGCTGAAGAGTAATATTCAGATTTTTTTAAGAGGTTTTTGATGGAGAGGAGGGTGGATGCTTGATGGATGTCTTGAGGAAGATGCCACAATGCTAAAAGACCTGAGTCCAATGGTGACTAGACTATTGAAAATATGATGTTTGACTCTACATTCCTAAACCGTGATCATATGTCGGTGACGTCAGTGCCGTTGATTGGACGAACGCAGCCCGTAAGGCCATCGAGTCTTTCCTGAAGAGTAATACAACAAGTAACACAACTCTTCTTCACTCTAATTGACGCGTTTTCCATGAACATTTTAATTTTCCATCAAACACTGACGCGACCGTTTTAATGCATTATATTGAAAAACAGTAAATATTATGATTTTTAAATATATACATATATTTATACCCCTGCTCTCTTCAGAGTTACTTTTCTAGCTGACTGTCGAGTAAATCGGGTAAATGTGACGTTATGTGACTCAAAGGGATAGTTCACTTTGAAATTAATTTTTGCTATGTTTTATCTTACCTCAAGGGCATCCCAGATGTAGGTGTCTTTGTTTCCACAGTATTTTCAATTTATATATTTTTAGGTCAAACCGTAAGTCATATAATGCAGGTCTGGGGGGTCCACCTCAAAGAGCAGCACAGAGAAGTCCAGAGTAAACATGATTTAATGACTCGTAAATGTAAGTACACATTGATGGCGTAAGACACGAAACGAGCGGTTTGTGTGAGAAAACCAACAGTATTTATATCATTTTTACCTCTTGTTAACAGCCGTCGAAGTGATCTGAATCAGATGTCCAACTGAACCGTCTCCAGACTTGACGCCGGAAGTGATCTCTCGTGCGTCTACGTCACGCATTGTTTACACGGAGATTTCGGAAGTTTTTCACTAAACATTTTTAGATATACGGGAAATCGCAAGATTTCGATATATCCCCCCATACCTGCATTAAATGACTTACAGACAACGGTCTGACCAAAAAATGTCAAAATTGAAAATACTGTGGAAACAAAGACAGCTGCACCTTGGATGCCCTTGAGGTAAGATAAAACACATCACAAATTAATTTCAAAGTGAACTATCCCTTCAAGTGCTATTGACGTTTCAGCGGTCGAACTGATTGATGGACAACAAGAGCGCCAAATACGACATCGCCTGATGTTGGAAATCGAGAATTCACTATTTTAAGCCCAGCTTCTAGTCGTAACTGAGCTTTTACATTATAAGTGTAAAATGTTTCTTCCGTCCGGGTTAAAGCGCGGTTTAGAAGGATAACCCGGGGTTAAAGCCCTTGTGAGTGAGTGAGTTACTGCGGTTATAAATGAATAAACTATAAGTCAGACATCTGTCTACTGTACTAACTGTTCATCAGTGACTCATCATGAGTGATTATGAGAAATCAACGTGTTCCTTCAAGATCACTGAGGTTGTGTTTATGAGCGTTTGGAAAAGCCCAGAGCAAACCCATACCTACCGATCACATGCAACTTTTGTGCATTTTTAATAAATAACACTGTTCAGTGTGTTTTAAAGTACATGCGCTCATAAATCACATTCACGGTGCACAACCAGTCTAATTATTAAACAAATTCCTGTCCTCATAAATCACATAAACAAACACACACACACTTTTCCCTGTAACGTAATAAAGATCTGACGTCACGCTGCCATGGAAACGGACCTGCATTAACACACTGAAGCGGGTCCCGGAGATACTATAATCTATATTTGTTTATTCTTAAATTACACTGAGCAGGAAACCACAGAAGATCGTTATTCCAGAAAAATCAGACAGATGTTCATAACATGTTCATAAACAGCGACTGTGCAAAACTCTGGCCAAGATAACTGTGTTTAAAAAGTTAAAAACGCCTTATTATTATATAATCAAAGTAATGACAAGAAAAATAAATGTATCAATAACACACACACACACACACATATATATATATATATGTGTGTGTGTGTATATATATATATATGTGTGTGTGTGTGTGTGTGTATATATATATGTGTGTGTGTGTGTGTGTGTATATATATATATGTGTGTGTGTGTGTGTGTGTGTAAAAGTACTATTATATAGTATTTTAATTTTAGTTCAAGTTTTAG